TAGTCCCGTGCGGTGGGGGGGGCCGGGGGGAGGCGGTCGGGGTTGCTCCCGGCCGGGCCCTTGCCCTGGGCCGCCGGGGGGGGCGGGGGGCACGGCCTCAGGGACCCTCCCAACTCTAAGACTGTCACCTAAAGGAACCCCCGGAAAGAACTTGGCTTCCTCTTTCTCAAGAGGGTCCTCCACCTGCTCTGCTCAGGCAAAAGGACCTTCCCAATGCTGACCATTTAAACACTTCCCTAGACTTTTTCTAGTGGGATGCGGTGTATTTTTTAAAAGAAGAACTACATAGTTTTGATGGAACGTGAATGGCTGTGTTTTCAGGGGTGAAATCTTTCCTAAGTGCACTTTGGGCTTCCGTGGTCTGGAGGGCCCTTTGGGTGGAAGGGCAGGCGGGGTCCCAGCGGAGGGAGGAGGGAGGAGGGAGGGCCCCGAGTGTACCCTGCACCCCCCCCAGTGGTGGCCCTGGGCTCCTGGCCCCCCAGCCATCGCTGCCTTCAGCAGCCTTTCTCAGCAAGGGCTCCAGTTACAGCCCACGGGCTAATTCAGCCCCAGCGCGCAAAGGTCGAGGGGCGGTGGCCTGCTCAAAGCAGCCTGTCCCGTGGGCACCTCCCTCCAAGGCCACTGAGGCCCCCTCACCTTCATTGTTCTCCAGGATGTTGGGGGCGAAGCCGCCCTCATCCCCCACGTTGGTGGCGTCCTTCCCGTATTTGCTCTTGATCACTGCCTTCAGGTTGTGGTAGACTTCAGCCCCGATCCGCATGGCCTCCTTGAAGTTGGTAGCCCCCACCGGCAGGATCATGAACTCCTGCATGGCCAGCTTGTTCCCAGCGTGGGAGCCCCCGTTGATCACGTTGAAAGCCTGGCAAGGGGCAAGCAGGTGCTGACCCCTCGGACCTGCCCCTAAAGAGCCAGGGCCCCCTCAAGGCCCTGCTCTGCCCCGTGTCCTGGCAGAACTCTCATTTCTGCACCTTCCCACCTAGAGACGCTTCTAGGCCCCCAAGAAGCTGCTCTCCAGCCCCTGTCTTTCAAGACCCCCATTAGCTGAAGCAGCTGAGCCCCCTCACTTGCCCCCTCCCTTCTCCTGGCTCAGTCACTCACAGGCACTGGCAATATGAGCTCCTTGTTCCCAGCAAGGTCTGCAATGTGGCGATAGAGAGGGACCCCTTTTTCAGCTGCCCCAGCCTTGCACACAGCAAGAGAGACGCCCAAGATGGCATTGGCCCCAAACTTGGCTGTGAAGGAAAAAGGGCCAGGTGTGAGCTCAGCCTCAAGATAAGGCTTCCCTGCCAAGGTATGGGGGGCAAAGGGTGCAAATACATCCCCACTTACATTTGTTCTCTGTCCCGTCCAATTCAATCATGACTTTGTCAATCTTTTCCTGCTCAACAACACTAATTTTCTATCAGGGAAAAAAAAGGAGGGGGGATTATCTTCCAAAAGTTTCGAATGCGGAGACACAAAATCAAGAAAAGACGCTTTCATATTTTGTTCTTAATATTTAGTAAAAAGTCCCTGTTGATAAGAGAAATGGGGACAAAGGCCAACTGCGACTATGCAAAATTCCTACCAC